TAATTAGCAACCTAAAGGTGTTGGTGTTTTTTTTTAAACCTAAACTTCATGAAAATGAAGTACTTAAAACAAAAAAGGTCTCCTCACTCTGAAAGATGACACGCATGTTCTTTTGTAATGATCTGAAAACTTTCCAGGTTATTTTTGTAGTTCAAGCTCAAAATTGTCTCATTTAATTTTCAGTTTGTTATGTGGTAGGATTTTAACTCATGATCTTTGGCTTTTTGTCCAGTGGCATAACTATCGGGCTGCCATATACGTGGAGGTGTTTTTGACCTGTTGTAATGTAAACTAAGTGATATTGGCTCAGCTGTCCTTTCCTAGATATCTTTTCCATTAATTCCAATGATTAAGTGACCAATTTTAATATTACAGGGGATAAAACTTATTGGGGTGGAGGGGAGAGGACGAATCAATAGCAAGTAATGTTATTGATGGATTATTAATCCAGAGACCCAGATGGTGTTCTGGGATAACATGGTTTGAGTCCCACTACACACTGAATCATAGAAGTTATTTTCTGGTAACAATCAACTCCATCACCAACCAGCAATCCTACCTTCTCCTATGTCTTTGATTTTATAATTTTCCATATGTGAAACTCTCCATACTTGGCTTGTCTTGCCTCGATATGACTCCACACTCCTAGCGATGTCACTGACTCTTAACTTCCCTATAAATGACCTCACAAGTCTCTCTGTTGTAACAATTGCTAGAAAGTCACCAAAAATGAAAATAAAAAAATGCAGATACTAGAAAACACAAAATCAGAAATTGTTGAAAAATCTCAGTGGGACTGGCAGCATCTGTGAAGAGAAAACAGAATTAAAGTTTCAGGTCCAGTGACCCTTCTTCAGAACTGGGCATTGGGACCAAATCAGGGCATTGGAAATGACCATGATAAACACGGCTGTATTGACTCTACAAAGTCTTCCATTTGATTTGATTTATTACTGTTTAAATGTACTGAGGTACAGTGAAAAGTGTGTTGTCTTGTGTGCTTGACAGGCAGATAGTACAATACAAGTGCATCAGAATAGAGTGTAGGATACAATGTTACAACTGCCCCAAGAAAGTGTCTCTGCATGAACACCTGGGGACTATGCAGTGCCAAAACTGGGAGAGCTGTCTCCTAGATTAAGCAAGCAACAGCCTGACACAGTCATACACTCAGGTTATACCTTTTTAGGTAATGTTGCAGACACCACCATAACCATCCCTGGATATGTCCTGACCCATGTTAAATCATGGCATCAGGTCAAATGCGGGCAAGGAAACTTCCTGATTAACACATATTAACAACAACTGACAGCATCGCTCCACCCAAGCTGTTGAATCAGGATGCCCTGGTTCAGCAGCACTTTGAGGAGCCACTGAGGGCAGCAAGAGTACAGAATGTACTTTGTAGGGGGATTTCAATGTCTAACACAACTACTGACCAGACAAGTTGAGTCCTAAAGGATATAGCTGCTAGACTGAGTCTGTGGCAGGTGTTGAGTGAATCAACCAGAAGGGAAAAATATACTTGACCTCATCCTAACTGATCTACCTGCTGCAAATACATCTATCCATGTTAGGATCAGTTAGAATGACCACTACAAAGTCCTTGCAGAGGTGACATCCTGCCTTCGGGTTGGATATACCTTATGTCATGTTGTGACTCTATCACCATGCTAAATGGGATAGGATTCAAACAGATCAAGCAACTCCAGACTCAGCATCCATGAGGCACTATGGGCCATTAGCAGCAGTAGAATCATACAATCTGCACCTCATGGCCTTGCATAACCGCCACTCTACCATTACTTGTTGACCCTGGTTCGATGGAGAGTGCAGGACGGCATGCCAGGAGCAGCGCCGGGTGTACCTAAAAATGAGGTATCAAACTGGTGAAGCTACCAAACAGGACTACTTGCATGCTGAAAGCATAAGCAGTAAGTGACAGACTAGCTAAATTTCGTCAGCCAACACACCAGATCCAAGTTCTGCCACATCTAGTCATGAACGGTGGTGGGCAGTTGAATACCTAACTGGAGAAGGAGGCTAAACAACTATCCCCCATCCTCAATGATAAAGACGTCCAGCATACCAATCCTAAAGATAAGACTCGAGCATTCACAGCAACCTTCAGCCAGAAGTGCCTAGTGGGTGATCTATCTATCTATCTATCTATCTCAGCTTCGTTTAGAGGTCACTACTTTGACAGGAGTCGTCAGACAATTTGATTTACTTCACATAATGTCAAAAATGGCTGGATACTGCAAAAGGCTGTAGGCTTTGACGACATTCCATGAATAGCTCTGAAGAGTTGTGCTCCAGGACCTACTACACCCCTAGCCACGATGTTCCAGTCTAGCTAAACATAGACAATTTTCCACATTGTCAGGCAGATGCCAAAGTATGTCCTAAATACAAAAGGCAGGACATACCCAACCCGGCAAATTACTACCCTGTCGGTAAAGTGATGGAAGGTGTCACCATCAATGCTGTCAAACAGCAGTTGCAGAGCAATAACCTGTTCGCTTACACCCAAATTTTGTTTTGCCAATGTCACTCAGCTTCTGACCTTATTACAGCCTTGGTTCAAATGTGACAAAAGAACTGAGTTACAGAGATGAGGTGAGAGTGATTGCTCTTGGCATCAAGGAGCCCTAGCAAAACTGGAATCAATGGGCATCAGAAGAAAACTCTGCCGGTTGGACTCATACCTGACACAAAGGAAGATGGTTTCGGTTGTGGGGGGTCAGTCATCTCAACTCCAGGAAGTCTCTGTAGGAGTTCCTCAGTGTAGTTTCTTAGGCCTGACCATCTTCAGCTGCTTCCCTCCATCATAAGGTCAGAAGTGGGGATGTTAGCTGCTGATTCCACAATGTTCAGCACTATTTGCGACTCCTCAGATACCAAAGCAGTCCATGTTCAAATGCAATAAAATCTGGACAATAACCAGGCTTGGGCTGAAAAGTGGCAAATAACATTCGTACTAAATGTCAGGCAATGACCATCTTCAATAAGAGACAATCTAACCACCATTCTTTGACAATGTGGTATTACTATCACTGAAACCCCCACTGTCAATATCCTTGGGATTACCATTGAGCAGAAACTCAGCTGGACCAGTATAGAAATACAATGGCTACAAGACCAGATCAGAGGTTAGGAATCCTGCAATGAATAGCACACCTGACTCCCCAAAGCCTGTTCACTTGCAAGACACAAGTCAGGAGTGTGATGAAATACTCCCCACGTACCTGATTGGTGCAACTCCAACAATACTGAAGAAGCTTGCCACCAACCAAGACCAAGCAGATTGCTTGATTGGCATCACATCCACAATCATCCACTCCCTCCACCAATGACACTCCATAACAGCAGTGTGCCATCCACAAGATGCAGGGCAGAAATTCACTAAGGCTCGTTAGCCAACACTTTGCAAACCCATGACCACTTCCACCCAGAAGGATAAGGGCAGCAGTTACTTTGGAGGGGAAATTACAGGTGGTGGCAGAATTTCCAAGCCGCCCTCCATCCTGACTTGGAAATATATCGCCGTTTCTTGAATGTTACTGGGGAAAATCCTGGAACTCCCTCCTAATACCATGTGGGTCTATCTACATGAAATTGATGGCAGCAGTTCAAGAAGGCAGCTTATCACCACCTTCTCACGGGCATCTGGGATGGGCAATAAATGCTGGCCCAGCTTATGGTACCCATATTCCATGAATGGATTTTTAAAAACCATATTTTGGGCACAATGTTGCAATGTTGTAACTGCTTTGGATTTTAAGTTTTGATCTCAATATTAAACTTAACTGATTTGTTGAATAATCTTAAATTGACCAACATGCAGAAAACCAAAAAGTAGGTTGCTAATGATCCAAAATTGAAATGAGCAACATTGCATTTAAAGTAGTCTACTGTATTTCTTTGTTTGGTCCCTCCTCTTCTGATGAGCTTTCTTCATAACATTTAAACATTCTTCCATTGTATTTGTTTACTTTTTGCACTAACAGTATGCAGTTGCTTGGTAGCAAAGAAGTTGATAGCTGAAAAGAGACAACCGTTCAGATTTCATATGGTCTCCATTCTTGTGCTTGTGCAAGGTGAAAGGTTTTTGGTCACATATATCTCCCTTGATCAAAATTAATTTGAAGTGTATTGCTCCATAATATTGCCATCACTTTCCAACCAACATTCTAGGCACAGGCAACTAAACCGATCAAACCTGTCACTCTTAGCCAGCCGCGAAGACTTTGCAAGTGACCCACGAAGACTCCTAATACAAGCTTTTTGCCTATGGCTTGGGAATATACAAATCCTGTGTAGTTTACTCAAGTGATAG